TCGTTCCACCAGGGACAATGGTAGGCAACCGTTATCCCCAACAACGGTGCCACCTGTCGAGCGCATCGGTCCGGCACCGCACAAGGCAGCGCGGGACCCTCCCCGTCGTGTCACGCATGAGTTGATCTAAATCCTTCGTCGAGAATATACATGGAGTTTCCGCAAGCTGCTCCGGCCGAGTGCGTCAGCCATACCTCCCGCGAACTCCTACGACAGGATAGGGCCTACGCGAGGCACGACTTACCTCCACCTTACGGGAGTTGTCACCTCCCTTCGGTGGGCGTATCCCTGTCGAGCTACCAGTCCACAATACCAAAGTTTATCAGGTGCAATCGCAGAGGTGGACCAGCCGAGGGCGTTTCTCGTTCGCTGTAGCATAGGGGATACTCGCAGTATTACGCCTCTATCATACCCGCACGCGAACCGGCATCTTGGGGGGGTTGAGATCCCAAGCGCGACTCGGCGTCGGTCGATTAGGACGTATCCCACTCACTATGCATACACTACACTATGAACACAAAAATAAAACACACACATACACACACCAAACAATGTGACAACACTCCTAGTCCCCTCAGTAGTCGTCCCATAACTTTCCGATGCGGATATCGGATAGGCTTCTCTCGCGGGACTTAGTATAAAACCACGAGGACGCAGGCCTAACTCATATCGACTCGCAATGCAAGCATACGCAAGTATCAAGCGGTCCCTCGTGGATCCGAGTACTGCTTATAACACTCAAGTGTAAGACTCGAAGTGTCGTGAGGGTCTAACCCTTCACGATATTGCACGGCTGAAGGAATAGTCGTGCAGCCGCCGCGAGACCTCCGACCTTTGGTCTGAGCGTCTCGGTAGGCAAGGCAAATAGGCTCTGCACGGGGGCAGATTCCTTCCCTGCAGAGCCTAGGGCTTGGGATGTCCTGGACAAGGACCTTGAATCCCGGCCCAGGACCAACGTCCGACTATAAAAATTTCTCAAAAGCAAAGAGTAAAAGGAGATCTCCCTTTTCTTTCAAACATATAGTCTGTTTAACCCTTACGCGCGGTCACAATAGGTCACTCGAAACACTCAAGACATATATATACACATATATATAGAGGGTTATTAATATAGGACGATCCTTTCTCAACGTCACAGTGAGACTCCTCTCATTGTATGTGATCGCAGACAATCAAATCCAGACTCCGAACCACAAACATACCTGCAATCACATCAAAAATTCAACAAACGTCCACGCACCACACGGGTTCAACTTCAACCATTCTCTATGTCCATACCCCTTGTTTTAGCCATACAAGCCTCACGCTTGTGCAACTCCCCAAAATAAGTACTCAGTACCTTAGTTAAATGACCATTCAATAAAGTCTGCGTGAAAAACACAATGAAACAGATCAAACCACAAGGCTAAAGCCTTTAGGTTGAGTGACAAGAGCGGATTGGAGTTGAATCGTAAACCGACGAATCGGCAACCGACCTGTTATCAGTGATAATAGAAGATAATCCTTATAGGATCAAGCTGAATCTTGTCCAAACCCCGAAATAATCGATCAAGAAGACCTGTAACACAAGACAGGTCAATCCCCAGCTAAGTTCATGGAGAATAATCTTCATATCACGATCTCACTCAAATCATATCACGATCTCACTCAAATCATCCTATTTAATTAAGCCTGAATCTGCTGCTCAGCAGTGCCCAAAGCAAAGGTAGACCCTGACATAATCTCCCCTACACAGGGTGGACCGTCAGGATCGCCACCAGTCACAATATAACTTATCTCCCTTAAACTAGGAAAATTTTGGAAACGCTTCCCGTAGGAAAAATGTCTTTTGATAATTTATATTAGCCCGAGTATGAAAGCAGAAATTGTCTTCAACTTTCCTAAGTCTAGTTTTGTCTAACTCCCCGCAAAAATTTTGGCAGCACTCCTTTTAGAAAAGGAGACTTTCCATATTTTTACTAAGCCATATATGAATTTTTTAGACAAGTTGAACTTTGGAAAGTCAAAATTTGACTAACTCCTTGAATTTGCAGAAATTTTGGCAGCGCTTCCCGTAGAGAAAGTAGCTTACCAAAATTTATACAAAGACAAATATAATAAAATATCTAAAAAAATGCAGAAATTGACCTAAGTAAAAATAAACTTAGCTCAGAAAATGCAGAAATTGAAACTAACTCCTATGGCTCTAGCACGTGGCGAGCGACTAAAGCAACTACCTACCAACATAAGACTCAGACCAGGTAGCCATCTCACTCAGCCACATGCAAGCCAAACCACAAGGACCAGTACTCTCATCATCCCTTAGTAAACTCAACAAACAATAGTTCATAGTCTTTCAATGTTTTAGCCCTTTATACCCAGTTTACATAAGGCGTGAAGTCAGGTCATCCAATCTTATGGAACATGCTTGACTCAGCCATTAAGTATACATGAAAAGGTTGCATAACTAATTTTCTCTTCCTTTGGGCACATGGCTAAGCCATTTATCTTAGAAACAATGCTTAGTCGCCCTGAACAGTTTAATACCCAGATTATATATACTTCTCTGAACTCAGTGTTCAAAAGCTGAATGCAAGACTGAGCTATTCATCTTAGAAACAAAGCTCAGCCCGCCCAAAGTTACCTTCAGTTATATTCTTAATTATACTCTCTTCAGGTTTATGATAAGCTATAGTCAAACCACCTAATTTTATGGGACCCTATCTGACCAGCCGGTTCCTTAAGTAGAATAGTAATAAGATATAGCCGAATTATAACCTTTTGGGTTCCAACATGTGCGAGGCTTTGGGTCAGACCATCCAATCTTATGGAACATGTTTGGTCCTCCGCCGGGTTTATTTCTCTCTGACCCATCTGTGTGCGGCATGAGTTCAAAACCATTCACTCTTATGGAACATGCTTTGTCCTCTGCGGAAATTACTTCCTCATAATAAAACAAACAAAAGAGTTGAGCCATTCATCTTAGAAACAAAGCTCAACCTCTTTTTCTCAGCACAACAACGGCAGAGTACTCTGAGTTGAACCCAGAGACTGTTCAGAAACCACCCAGAAATAAACGGCGATCAGGCCATTCATCTTAGAAATAAAGTCTGGTCCTCAAGTTTGCATAACCAAACCCCACAAAATAAACAACCAGACCATTCATCTTAGAAACAAAGTTTGGCAAAATTAAGTAAACACAACGGCCAGGGTTGTCACGGCCCCGGCCCCGGGGGTCCGGGGTAGCCCCGAGGGTCCGGTGCGGTGGTCCCCTGACCCCGGGCCGGGAGGGTTAAAAAAAAAAAAAAAAAAAATTGAAAAAAAATCCAAAAAAATATTTAAAAAATCTGGTGGGGTGCGCACCGCTGCCAGGCACCCCCTGGCGCTTTCTGCTATTTTGCAGAAAAGTGCCCCCCTGGGCCACCCCACCGAGGTCCCCCCACCCCGTTGGCGGGGTCATTCGGCGGTGGTCAGGGTTGAGTCCGGTGGGTCGGGGCCGGGGATGCGCTGGCGCGGGGCGCGGGGGTCAGGGTCGGGGCCGGGGCCGGGGTTCACCTGGGCCGGGGTCGCGGTGGTCGGGGCCAGGGTGCGGAGCCAGGGCCGGGGTGCGGGTGACCGGTGTCGGGGCCGGGG